CCCCAAAACCCCAAAACCCCAAAACCCCAAAACCCCAAAACCCCAAAACCCCAAAACCCCGTTGCCAGACCAAAAGGCTGAATATTATAAATTTAGAAATTTAGAAATTTAAAAATCGACTATGAGTGAAGAAATAGAAGCTCATGTCCTTAAGAAATACGAGATCCTTCAGAAGCTTGGTAAGGGAGCCTACGGTATTGTCTGGAAAGCTATCGACCGGAAGACTAGAGAAATTGTTGCTCTTAAGAAGAATTTTGATGCCTTCCAAAATGCAACTGATGCACAAAGAACTTTCAGGGAGATACTCTTCTTGCAAGAGCTAAGCGGTCATGAGAATATCATCAGATTGCTCAATGTTATTCGTGCTGAGAATGATAGGGATATTTACCTGGTATTTGATTATATGGAAACCGATCTACATGCTGTTATTCGTGCAAGCATTTTGGAGGAAATCCATAAGCAATATATAATTTACCAAACTTTGAAATGTCTGAAATATATGCACTCAGCTGATGTTCTCCATAGAGATCTCAAACCTTCTAATATACTTCTAAATGCAGAATGACATATTAAGGTTGCAGATTTTGGACTTGCAAGGTCAATCGCTTCTACTGAGGGTGACTCACAACCTCTTTTGACTGATTATGTTGCAACGAGGTGGTACAGAGCTCCAGAAATTCTTCTAGGATCAACAAAATATACCAAAGGTGTTGATATGTGGTCCTTAGGATGTATCTTAGCAGAGCTTCTTCTTGGTAAACCTTTCTTCCCAGGTACATCTACTCTCAATCAGCTTGATAGAATCATGGAGATCACAGGGAGACCAAGCTCTGAGGACATAGAAGCAATTCAGAGTAGTCTGGCAACGACCATGCTTGACTCTTTGCCACCTTCGAAAGCAAAATCATTGAAAGAGATCTTTCCAACTGCTAGCGAGGATGCTCTTGACTTACTAGACAGGTTGCTACAATTCAACCCAGAGAAGCGTTTGTCTGCTGAAGAAGCCTTGAAACATCCATATGTTGCTCAATTCCAGAATGATGATGATGAGCCTGTCTGTAATAAAACTATCAATATTACAATGGATGATAATCATAAATTCTCTATTAGAGAGTACAGAGAGAAGCTCTACTCAGATATCCATAAGAGAAAGAAGGAGTTAAGGAAAAAGATCCTCCAAAGCCATCATAGTTACTTCAGCAAGTACAAATAGAAATTTATCTGATAAAAGCTAATTCAACCTTGCTTTTTCTTTAAGGGGTTTTGGGGTTTTGGGGTTTTGGGGTGTTGGGGTTT